CAAGGATAGAAGCCAGGAGACCAGTTATGGGCTCATGCCATCTATAATGTAAAATGTAAACCAGAGTTGTTGGTGGCTCTTACCCATTCCACAGTGCATACATATATCAAAACATCAAGTTGTACACCATAAATACATACAATCGTCGTCAATAAAAAAAAATTTAAATGTGTATTAAAAGAGTTATTGGTGGCTCAGACGAGGGTGGTAGTGATACAGGTGATGAGAAGTGGCCCAATATTATTTGTTAGGAGGGTAGACTGCTATTCATTCCTTTATAAGTTCCTTTATAAGTATTATGAAAAGTCTTAGTCACATACAGAAGCAGAGGGAGTAGTGTAATGAACCCCTCTACCCATCACCCACCTTCAGCATTACCAGTACATGGCTAGTATTGTTTCATCTATTACCCCACCCACTTCCTCACCCACCAGATTATTTTAAGTCAAATTCTAGACCACCTGTCATTTCTTCTGTAAATCCTTTAGTATATCTCTCTCAAAGATAAGGACTCTTCAAAAGATATGATTATGACACAAAAATGAATAATTCTTTCTAAATATCACTGAATACAGATTCTGGACATACGAGGGTACTTCAAAAAGTTCATAGAAAGATTCATATTATTTTTTCATTCTACTTTTTCATGAACTTTTTGAAGTACCCTCATATTTTGAAAGCCGAGCTACCAGGATTTTCTGATGAAATTACATATGGAGTGTGAAAAAAAGGAGATGAATCAAGGATGTGTCCAAAACTTTTGGCCTAAGTGGTAAAATGGAATTTGCCATGACATGAGATGGAGATGATTGTGGACAGACTGTTTGGTGTGGGCGGGGGAGAGGGGACAGAGATCCGTTGCCGGACATGAAAAAAAGACAAAAAGGAAAAAAAAAAGTGTCTTGTGAGCACACAGGGAAAAAAGCCCTAATTTTGATGAATGCTTTTAGTGTAGTTCTTCCGGAAGAGGTGACCTCTGAGCTAGGTTTTGAAAGTTGAGTAGAAATTTCAAAGAGTAGAGGCTGGGAGCAAAGGCATTTTCTAAAGAAGAACCAAGTGATTAAAAAAGAAAAGCTTGGTTGTGCCTGGGACATCAATCATAAAATTGAGAAAAAGTGAAGCTGAATAGTAAACTGGATCAGATAAAGAGGGCATGGAATGCTTTGTTAACATATTTAGACTTAATTTGGTAGAGATGAGGAAAGAAAACTTCTTAAATGAAGTACTGACATGAAGGGAATGCATCTTCTAGTTGTTCTTCAGCATGTGCTTGAGGAAGAAGGATTCTATGATGAGCAATGATCTTGTTTTAATCACGAGGGGCAGTGACTGCATGACTGGCCACTATTATCAATCGAGCAAATGAGAGTCTCCTTCCCAGGTCATGTTTATTCCCGTCCAAGATTTCTAAATCTCTGCTTCCATCTAGGGACTAACTTTAGGAGAGCCATATGAATTGATTACTTATTTACCTGTTTCTTTTTCTTTGCTACATTTCCAGTGTCCCATTTCTTTATGCGTTTGATGTTGTGCTGCCCAGTTCTCTGCTATGCAGGTCCTAACCTGTGAGATGATAAACTTACCCTTATCCTCCAAATTGCTGACCAAGAGCTGAGTTACTAAGCTCTGAGAAAAAAGTTAAAGATGAGGAAATGGAAAGGGGTGACCTCCCTAAAACTAGTGGACTAGGTGGGAAAGCGGAATCACCCAGTGGAATTATATCCACTTTGCTTGGCTCTCTCTCTAGCCAAATGTTTTAGTGAATTTATCAGACATTGTTTCCATGCATCTGGAAAACATGGGCTTTTTTCATTCATTGTAGCTGGTGTTTAATCATAAAATGAGATGAGCTGTGAGGGAAGCCATGCACGTTAGTGGTCAAGGACAGGAGATTCATCTCAGCCAGGTCACTTAATAGCTTCTTGAATTTTAAAAAATTGATTGTTCTCTCTAAGGCTCTGTTTCTTCAACCATAAATGGGTTTAATAATATTTATCACAGATTTTTAGTGATTTTCCAATAAAATTATACATTAAAATGTCCAGTATATTGAGTTTAATACAAATTAGTTGCCCTATTAGTAAGATATATCAAAAACTTAACCACTAAGAAATTCAAGAACTATACAAGGTATGTCACTTTGTAAGGAAATTAAGACTTGAAGAAACAGTTAACCTTGAATGATTTTTACGAGAGATTTTGATGAAGATTGGACAGTCATGCAGCAATATGACAGGGCAAAGAGTACAAGCTAAGTGTTGTAAACTAGGGAAACATGGCAAGACCCATTTGTTTGGATTCCACTCTGTGTCCCTCACAGATAAGGGTATAGGGAGAGCACCTCTCACCTGAGGGTTTTGTGACTTGCTTCAAGAAAGGTTAGAAAATCCTTTTGTTGACCTAAAATAGAATGGAGACTAAAACATGTAGCAAGGATTTATTGAGCCAGTATGACAGTTGCAACCAGGGAGACACATAGATCAGGTAGCCCTGAAATTGTGTCCCAAAGAGGGCCAGCAGAGGTTAACATTTTATAATAACAAGAAAGGGGAAGGTCAAAGGACAGAGGGCGAAGGACAGTCCTGCCTAATTATTTCATCAGGCTTTCTATTGGTAGTACATGATGTATAGCTTTGGGATTGTTACAAATTTCTTGTGATGACTTTATGTGCTTCACACATTGTCAGATGTTTACATACTTGACAACTTGACTCCTCAAAGAAAAACCACTACAACAATATTTTAAGGTGAGGAAATGAAGGCTTAACAGTTAAATAACCTGTCTACATTGGTAGAGTTAATGTGTAACACAGTTGTAATTTCTTAACTAAATTCCAAATTCCAAAAACTTTGAGTCGATTTTGTGAGATGAATGCCAGTACTAAGAACGCTAAAAACATTTTAGCACAAAATAACTTTTAAAGTTTTGGAAAGTACCAGTGATACCTTGGTAGGCCCTTTTTAAGGAAAGTGGAATGTAAAAATAAAGCATGGATATATAGAAGGGTGCAATGTGATGTTTCAATGTTCTCCAACGTGAGATGAAAAAAGACAGCAAGGCACCCCACTACTCCATCCTCATGACAATATATGCACACACACTGAAGCAATTAAAATTATGCACCTATATATGTATGCCTTATGTGTATGCATGTATGTATGTGTACATGTGTGTGATATACAAGGGTACTTCAAAAAGTTCACATGTGTCTGTGTAGAGTTGTAAACACTTTGGATTTCTAAATGGCATGGGAATAGATAGAAAGAAGGTTTGAAACAATTTTAAAAGATCTCAAGAGGCTTACAGTGGGATTATCTAAACATTAGCATCACTATAAATCATACCATTACCTTTGGGCATAACCTCTGAGGGATTAAATAAATTCAAACTAATAATAATTACTTCATAGAGTTTTATCTTACAAAACAGCCAGGCTTATAGCAATCTTAGTCACTGATCCTAGAGTGTTTGTATAAGTAAGATATTAGATTCATTTTTTGGGAGAGCAAAACAAAATATCTGTCACTTAAATTTAAATTTTTTTTTCTTTCCTTTTTTTTTTTTTGTCTTTTTTCGTGACCGGCCACGGGATCGCAACCCTCGGTGTTGCTCCCGCCCCTCGCTCAGCCAGTAAGCGCCGGTCTGTATGTGGGATCCGAACCCTCAGCGCCACCGCACTTCCCAAGCGGCGCTTCCCAAGAGGCGCACCATAGCAGTGCGCCACCGGGCCGGCCCTAAATTTAAATTTTATACCTCATTTATAGAAAATTCCGAGCTGGTATGTCAGTTCAGCTTTGCCAAGATTTTAGGAGCTCCAACTTATTCACTCTAGTTTTTGTGCCATTTGTAAAGAGTTTCTCTCATTTATATGATCCAGGATGACTCAACACTACATCCATCCTGCAGCCAGTGGGGGCTAGAAAGGAAGAAGGGGAGGACAAGCCAATCTTTTTTAAAAAAAGCGTAAAAATTGTACATTTTTCATTCATCACATTCTCTTGGCCAGAAACTATTATTTTGCTGCAGCAATCTAGTCTGGGAATAAAAGAAGAAAGAAAAAGAAAACAATTTATGGTATTTTTTGTTTGTTTGTTTTATTTTCTTTGGCTTTCCTTTTTTTTTTCCTTAGAGCTCTGCCATAAAGATCCACTCTGGCTCTGAGGACCAAACAATTACCTCATCATGGGGGAGATGCAGGCTTATCACCTAGGCTCTGATTAATCCATCTGTGGTCTGAATGATGTTTGTACTTCAATCTCGGTTTTCACAACTATAGGATAATATGCTGGACTAAGTCGTTTACGCTGTAATGTAGGGCTGATGCTCTGAAAAATAGCTTCTCTGAAGTGTGTTAAATTAACTAAAAGAATGTTAGAAGACTTTCTTAAAGCTCTCCATAAGATTTTCAATTGTTCAACTTTTCACATAGTCCTATTTTCTTCCATTTTCCCCCTAATAGCAGCTAGTCATTCTAAAATAGGGCATGCTGATAGTTTACATCATGTAAAACATGAATCAAATATATGCCTTCAATTTATCATTTGTATTCTTATACAAAGGACCTAAGAGTTTGTGTCTGGAATGATTTATAAGAAATAATTGTTATATGAAAAGAACTTCTGGTACAATTTTCTTAACTTCTAGTCATCTTTGAAATTAATTTAGGTAAGTGTTGATTATTTATTTGTTTATTGTCACTGAGTGGCAAATCTGAGAAGTCAAAATTGAAGAAGTTAAGAAGTAAAATGTGGCCTGTGAACAAGTCAGGACTCAGTGCCCTGCCTGCCTGCCCTGACTGGAGATGCCCAGGAAGGGAAAAAGCCCCTAGGAAACCTGCCTACATCCCAAGAACAAAGTAGGACCCAGCACACCACCTTGAAATCATCCCAAGTATCTTTTCAGACCACAGCAGATTAAAACTAGAAATTAATAACAATTGAAACTCAGGACACAATACCAACACTTGGAAATTAAAAAAAGGTTCCTGAATGACCTATAGGTCCAAGAAGGTATTAAACAGATTCTCTTCTTCGTGCTCTTTCTGGCCGTTTACAAAGTCACACTGGCAGGGAACCTTGGCAGGATTGTACTCATCCAGGTCAATGCTTGGCTCCACATGCCCATGTACTTTGTCCTGAGCCACTTGTCCTTTGTGGATCTGTGCTTCTCTTCCAATGTGACCCCAAAGATGCTGGAGATTTTTCTTTCAGAGAGGAAAACCATTTCCTATCCTGCTTGTCTGGTGCAGTGTTACCTTTTTATTGCCTTGGTCCACGTGGAGATGTATATTCTGGCTGTGATGGCCTTTGATCGGCACATGGCCATCTGCAACCCTCTGCTTTATAGCAGCAAACTGTCCAAGCATGTGTGCACATCCCTCATCATAGTGCCGTTTGTGTATGGAGCGCTCACTGGCTTAATGGAGACCATGTGGACCTACAAACTAGCTTTCCATGCTCCCAATGAAATAAATCACTACTACTGTGCTGACCTGCCACTGACTAAGCTGGCTTGTTCTGACACCTACAACAAAGAACTGTCGATGTTTGCTGTGGCTGGTTTCAACTTTACCTATTCTCTCTTTATCATTCTCATTTCCTATATGTACATACTGCAAAACAGTGACTACATACAGCAATAATAATATATAACATATGGGGTTAAAAAGATAGAATTGATTTACTGGCAAACATTAAATTATAAAGAGGGAAGTTTTTATTTTTAATTTTTTACCCTTATATTGTTTTGGAGGACAGTAAAAATATTGGCTAAATTTCAAGTTTATTAAGCTCAGTGTGCATGTTAAAATATCAAATGTCATTCATATAAGTCTAAACATAGAATGTATATTACAAAAGTTTAGGAGGAGGAAGATTAAAATATATTTCATATAGTCTTGACTATGTGCCAAAGAATATTCTAAACTCTTTACATATATTATATCAATAGTCATTAGAAAAACTGGAACATGTGGTAATATTGCCCTAATTTTATATTTGGAAAACCTGAGAAAAAAAGCCATTAAACAACTTACTACTGATAACACAGGTCATAAGTGGTAGAGCTGGAATTATAATTTATAGGAATAGAAAGAGACAGTTCAATGTAACGGAAAAGAGAAAAGTCAAACAATAGAAACAGGATCAAAGTATTTCAGATACTAGTGCCATCTGGCCAAGACTTTAAAATAATTGTGATGAACATAGTATAGAAAGAAGAGGAAAAGATAGACAGAATAAAGAGAATTTAATCAGAAAATTTGAATCTATTGAATAATCAATGCAAATGTTAAACTTGACAAATTAAATATTAGAAATTAAGTGCTCCTGGGGCTGACCCTGTGGCTCACTTGAGAGAGTGTGGTGCTGGGAGCGCCGAGGCCGCAGGTTCAGATCCTATATAGGGATGGCCAGTGCGCTCACTGGCTGAGCGCGGTGCAGATGACACCACGCCAAGGGTTGTGATCCCCTTACTGGTCACAAAATAATGAGATATATATATATATATCACTCTGTTTTAAACATAAAACAAAACAAAACAGATAAGAGCAGGACAAAAAACAATCAAAATATGAACACGTACTGCACCAAAATATATTCAAGGAACCAAATAATTTATGACCATGTGCTCAACTTCAGTAATCATCAGGGAAATGCAAATTATAACCACGAGATATCTGTACCTAGACGCACATCACACAATGGCAAAAATAAAAAAAAAATAACCCTGACAATATTGGGCATTGATGAGACTGTGGAACACCTGGACTTCTCGCATAGTGCTAGTCGTAGCGTAATTTGATTTAACTGCTTTGGAAAACTATTGTACAGTGCAAATTTAAGATGAACATATTGATAACCCCATAAACCAACACTTCTCCCCAGAATTCTAACAGGCAGAAAAGCATGAGTGTGTTCCTAAAGAGATATGCACAAGATCATATTTTGTAATGGCCACATCTGGAAGCACCCTAATATCTATCAAAATTAGGAATGATGTATACATAAATTTTGGTGTATTTGCTATACAGCAATGGGGATAAAAGAACTATTGCTATAGTCATCATGAATGAAAATCCCCAGCATAATGTTCAGCATCAAGATAGTATTCATTGAAAGATGGAATATAATAGAATAAGTACTGTATGATTTCGATCACATAAAATTCAAAACAGACAGAATTAATGATTTATATCACATAAAATTCAAGACAGACACAATTAGTCTGTAGCATTAAAAATGAGCATATGGTTAATTTGAGGGATAGTGACTAGACAAGGTCACGTGGAGGGCTCCTGAAACACTGCTAATGTTCTACATTATGAGTTAGAGGCCAGTCATGCAAGTATGTTCACTTTGTAATAATTCATGAAGCCATGCCCTTAGGTTTTGTATGTAGTTTTTATATATATATTAGACTTCAACATAAAGGTTACTTATATTAATAAAAATAGTACTAGTCTCCAGACAACCAAAGCTTCATTCCAAGACTAAAGCATTTTATTTATCTGTCAGTACACAGAGTGTATTGGTTTGCTTGGACTGTCATAATAAAGTACCATAGACTAGGTAGCTCAAACAAGTAAATTTATTTCTCCTCAGTTCTGGAGGCTAGAATTTCACGATCAAGGTGTGGGCAAGGTTTGTTTGATCTCTCCTGCCATTGTGACTATGTAAAGAGCCAGAAACAGCCAGAAACTAGAGATATTCAAAGCTGCTCTTTGCTTGTAGATGACCATCTTGTTCCTGTGGCCACACGCGGTCTTTCCTCTGTGCCTGTCTGTTTTCCAATCTCCTCTACTTACACGGACACCAGTCGTATTGGATTAGGACCCATCACATGACCTCATTTTACTTTTATTTCCTTTTTAGAGACCCTGTTTCCAAATAAGGTTACATTCTACAGTATTCAGCATTAGGACTTCATCATATGAATGGTAGGGGCCTAGGAGGGTGAGGAGACCATGATTTAGCCCATAGCACAAAGTGAGAAATGAAAAATAATAGAATTTTCACACAAACTTGTCACAGTGGCATGGAAGACTGCATCAGAAAAGTGGATTAAGCTGAAACTAACATGGAAAACATAAGTCAATCTGAGAATCCATGGCAGACATCAGTATTACTGTATGGACTTCCCCATGAAAGAGGAAACATGTAAAGACTGAACACAAGGCAGAAAAGTACTACAAAGTAGTTGATCCCCATGTTAAATCTGCATCATGCCAATTGTTATTTCCCCAGAGAAATCATTCAGTGAAAAAGAAAAAAAAAAATCTAACAGAGCAATTGCTTCATCTTGACACATTTCTGAAATCCTTTAGGGAAATGGAGTCAACGTACAGATATTATAAATTCTTCCTATATTACTAATCGGATAAGCCATTGGTGGTGTTTGTAAGGACAGCTCTTCCCCGATAGGTAGGTAGGTTTCTTTTATCTGCATGTGTTCATAATCATGAAAACTCTACTTCTTTGTACAGTAGCATGTATTATGAGAATTAGATTTATGATTGTTTTGATTAAATAACTAAGTGGAAAGAGTGCCGATTACAAGAAAAGTGCAGACATTTAGTATTGAAAGTACTTTCACTTATAAAAGTGATGAGGATGGAAGATAAGGAAATAAAAACATATTGAGTGGCATGCTTTAAGATTCTTTATTTAATATCAACAATGGTAGCTAATATTTATTGAGGGTTTGCCATGTTTGAGGCACATATTGCATACTTTATTTTGTGTAATCCTCAGAATAGACATGTATATTTATTAATTCCATTTTGCAATAGACAAAACTGTAGCTCATAATTATTAAGAAGTATGCCCCAGATTCCTCATCAGAACTGCTAAGGCCAGAATATGACCGGAATCGATTGACTCCGAAGCACATGTTTGTACTAGTACACTTTACTGTGCATAGTATGATTTTCTTCCGTGCTAAAATTGAGGGAAATATGGTATTATCTATATTTACTAGAGGCAAAATGCCAAAGAATATGAGGATCAAATGAGTTCATATTTATAAAATACTTAGGTCAGAACTCGGAATATAAGACACACAATGTAAATGTTTGTTAAGTAGATTAATGATAAAATTGAAAGTCGGAATAAGGAACTTGTCCAAGAAATACAACAGCATCTCAGAATTGTCTGTCTACAGAGCCTGTGAATTGATTTTGTGTTAACTGATTTTGTGTAGTTGGATTGAGGTATTAATCTGTTCGTTTGGTCTAGTCCTGAAACTTAAGTTGCCCAATGGTAGGCTACATGCGTCTGTTCATTTACCAAGTACACAAGCTTGTGAACTTAAAATGAGTAAATTTAACTGTATATAAATTTTACCTCAAAAAGGAGAGTAAACAAAGAAACAAAGATGAAAAGTGAAGGGAACTTGATACATAAGAATGAACAAGAGAACAACAATACGATTATTGAGCAGAGGTGGACATTTAACTTGATTTGGCATAAACTACAAATTCAACCATTATTTAATGTATTTATATTCAAAGAACAGCCCTATGTAAGATGTTCTTAGTGAATGTAGAAGATCTTCATATAGAAAAATAGACATAGACATTTTAGTTAATATCGGTATTACCAGTTTTTTCTCTATTACAAGTAACAAAAGTCAGCTCTAACTACGCTAACAAAAAATAATATTCTGGAACGATATTGTGGTCTCCCAAATCAGTGTACAGCTAGAAGACAAGGCTTAGAGAACAGATAGAAAGCGAGGGAGGTATGGATCCTGAGCAGATCAAACCACACAGGACCCGTGTTCCTTTGGAGTCTGGTCTTTAAGCCTCTCCATAAGCAATTTGATAAAAAAAAAACCATTTTGCCTACCTTGAACCATTAACTTACTTAAGATAACCAGGGGTGAGCATCTGATCTCTGCCTATTCCATCTGAACGAAGAATCTGGCCCCTCAGATTTCACAGTGAAATCCAGAAGTGGGAAGCCAAGAAAAGAAAATTTCTGTCACCCTGAAACTCCATGCAGTGGGAAATTCTCACCAAAATAATTTTAATGGGGTGCCAATGACAGGAGAATGTAAAAGCTGGGCAACACTCAAAATGCAAACATGTATATGTTATTCAAAAACAACAACAAAAAAATCCCGATGCCCCACCTAGAATGTCTTTATTCCATTAAGTCTGATAGGTACACAACTGTCTGTCTAGCCAGCTTGATTACTCTGCCTTCCCCAGTGGGGAATAGTTTACATGAAAATATTCAAAAAAAAAAAAAAAAAGGTCATGTGTGCAAATGCTGTTCTTTGATACCTTGTCCTTTTCTCTCTCTAAACTATTCTCTGTTCTCATTATAATCAGGGATAAAGGAATTCTTCAGACATAAAATTCTATTTTGGAGCAAGTACAGCCATAAAGTACATTTCTCAAATAAAAGGCAGTGGCAGAGAAAGTGAAGAAAAAAGTGAGTAGGGGCAAAAAGAAAGAAAGCTGAATTAGAAAGAGTGGACAGGAAGAGAAGAAAATAAAGAGCAATAGAGAGCTCGATCACAAAAGGCAGACAGATGCTTTGAATATTTCGGTTCCCAATACTTGGCTGAGATTGAGTTTACCACTGCTTGGCTGAGATTGACTTTACCATGATTGAAGATCAGTAGAAATGGGGTGAGAAGAAATACTGAGGGGAAAATTTGGTAAAAGATTATTATTATAATAGTAATAAATATTTTTCATTATAACATAATCCGGTATAATTGTGAAGTTCCCATCTCTGATTTCAGGAAAATTATGAGCAGAAACTTCACCTCAGTGACTGAGTTCATTCTCCTAGGACTGACCGATCGCCTGGAATTGCAGATTCTCTTCTTCATGCTGTTTCTGGCCGTTTACGGGGTCACAGTGGCAGGGAACATTGGCATGATTGTACTCATCCAGGCCCATGCCCGGCTCCACACGCCCATGTACTTTTTCCTGAGTCACTTGTCCTTGTGGCAGGGAACTTTGGCATGATTGTACTCATCCAGGCCCATGCCCAGCTCCACACGCCTATGTACTTTTTCCTGAGTCACTTGTCCTTTGTGGATCTGTGCTTCTCTTCCGATGTGACCCCAAAGATGTTGGAGATTTTCCTTTCAGAGAGGAAAACCATTTCCTATCCTGCTTGTCTGGTGCAGTGTTACCTTTTTATTGCCTTGGTCCACGTGGAGATGTATATCCTGGCTGTGATGGCCTTTGATCGGCACATGGCCATCTGCAACCCTCTGCTTTATGGCAGCAAAATGTCCAAGCGTGTGTGCACGTCCCTCATCATGGTGCCCTATGTGTATGGAGCACTCACTGGCCTGATGGAAACCATGTGGACCTACAAGCTGGCCTTCTGTGGTCCCAATGAAGTTAATCACTATTACTGTGCTGACCCGCCACTGATTAAGCTGGCTTGTTCTGACACCTACAACAAAGAGCTGTCAATGTTTGTCGTAGCTGGATGCAATCTTTCCTTTTCTCGGTTCATCATTCTTTGTTCCTACGTTTGTATCTTTTCTGCTATCCTCAGGATCCGCTCTACAGAAGGCAGGCACAAAGCTTTGTCCAAGGCAGGCTCAAAGCTTTGTCTCCCTGTGGCTCCCATCTGACAGCTGTCACTATATTCTATGCAACTCTTTTCTTTATGTATCTCAGAACCCCCACCAAGGAATCTGTGGAGCAGGGAAAAATGTTTGCTGTATTTTACACCACGGTAATCCCCATGTTAAACCCCATGATTTATAGCCTTAGAAATAAAGATGTGAAGGAAGCATTAATCAAAGAGCTGTCAAGGAAAAAAACATTTTTCTAAAAAAAAAAAAAAAAAAGTTCAGTATTCTTTTGTTTTTAATTTTTTTTTTTAGACATTTTTCTTAGGCTATATAACAGGTTTGCTGAAGAAATGAGAAATATGGCACTTCAATGGTGAACACTACAATTTTTGAAACTTTAATTCTTTTCTAAAACCAAAG